TTTGCTAACATTTGTAGAAAATGCCAATTCTCTGGTCACAAACTCCACTAAGTTTAGCACTTAAGGTCTCTGCAGTGTTATAAATGTAATTTAAAATACTGTTAATTCTATAACTCCATTGGTAAAATAATGTGACTTGAAATATGGCAGTCTTCATGTTGAGGGCAATGATCCACAGTTTTGTTTTTTCAATTTCTTAGGTGTGAACAGTTATCCAGAAGAACAACACCCTCCACCACCACTCTGAGCTTGAGGTTCATCATCGATAATCTGTACACCGCGTCTTGCAGCTCCTGGTTGACTAGAGCCATTGCCTTTTGCCCTCTCATCCACTTGTGCTGTTTCTATCATCCCTAGGAGAGGGAGAAAGGAAAGATTATCAGAAATGTAATCTTTGAGCTTTCTCCTTCTGTGACTTCAGTATGCAACTATGAGTTATTTTCAACTTTCAATCAACAAGAAAATTATAAAAGAGCAACACAGATTCTGGTTACCACCTCCAGAGATTCTGATTCAGTAGGTTTGTGGAAGGGCCAAGAAATTGCATTTCTAACACAGTCTCAAGTGATGCTGATGTTGCTGATCAGGGACCTTATTTAGATAATCACTACTCCAGAACTATGAGTGACTCAGGAAGTTTCATAAAACTGAAATTTAATCCAAAATTTGTGTTTGTGTAAGTATGTATTTTTTAAGGGAAAAATCAGTTTCATCAAATTCTCCGAAAGTTATTTCAATCCACTGTTCCATAGATTAGGCTTTCCTAAATATGATAAGCATCTTACTATTAATATGAGAAATAATTTTCAGGCTATACAGAAACAAACTTATTTTCCTTCTCTTCTAAAAAATCTTTATTAATAGAGAAACTTTCAAACATATTTCTTTTTTTTTTTGGTACCGGGGATTGAACTTAAGACCTTGCATTTGCGAGGCAGGCGCAGCACCAGTCAGCTAAATCCCCAGGAAACATACTTCTTTTATAGTAGAAAAAACCCAGCATAATGAAAATCTATCACCCAATTTTATCCATACCCCTAAGCATCCCTACCACTATTCTGAATCATGTAATTTTATTCATTAATTATTTTAATACGTATGTCTAAAAGAGAACTCTTTGAATAACTACACTACTACCACAACTAAAAAACTAATAAACATATCTTAATATCATCAAATATCCAACAGGTGGTCATATATTTCTAATTCTTTCACAAACATTCGTTTCATTAAGTTGGTCAAATCAGGATCCAAAGAAGGATCATTACAACAGCTTGTTATAGCTCTTAAATATGTTTTAATCTGTAAATTCTTCTTCCATTTTTACTTTAATAATTATACATATATTTTTCTTTTCATTTTTTTTGTTTTTATTTTTTATGAGCATATACTACACACCTGATTTCACAGCCACTAATTACTGATTAAGAACAGGGCTATAGTAGGGATTTAAGATTTTTAAAAAATGAGTTAAGAATATTAAGTAAATAATACTACAGGTAGATGTGATGAATTATCTATGTGGAATTTAACAGAAAGTGGTAAAATATTTTTAAAACAGTATCAATACTTAAAAAAGGGTCATTTTTAAACATACTAAATATGATTATACCTACTTTTACAAAGGTCAAGAAAAAGTTCCTCAATTCCTTTGTTCTGTTTGGCTGAGGTATGATAATGCTTTGCTCCCACAGATTCTGCATACCTTAAAAAAAAAAGTAACATCACTGATTGATATAAAACATTTGAAATTTAAAAAAAAATTTTTTTTTTCTTTTTTGGTACCAGGGATTGAACTCGGGACCTTGTGCTTTCGAGGCAGGTGCCGGAACCACTGAGCTAAATCCCCAGCCCCTGAAATTTTTATAGTAGCAATTTCAGTGACTTACTAGTTTATCTTAGCAAATTAGTAATTTACCCAAGTTTAGTCAAATTAGGATTATACAGCTACTGAACCTCTGTAGGCATTAAACCGAATTTTTTAAAACACAAATATAACAAGACTTGACATTTTTATATATTAATTTAGAATTCAAATATTTTAAGTGCCCAGTTGATCATAACGGCTTTCTTTTACATCATTCTTGCATTTTTCACTGCACCTAAAGGTGAAGAGGAAGTGAAGTATCTTTAAACATTGCCAAAAATCTAGAAATTACCAGTGTAAACATGCTTCTTTGAATCTAACAGCTTAATCCACTTTAAGAGGTTTTAGTAACACCTAAATAGTGAAGCACACTGTACAAAAAGGAAGACGTTCTCCTTGCAAGCAAACAGGAGTGGTGTGTAGGGGGTGCGCCACACTTACGAGTCCGCTTCTTGAATGGAAACATGTCTCTCCTTTTCCAAATCTATTTTATTACCTAATTTGAAAAAAGAAAAGACTATTCTTAATACTGATTTTTTATTGTAAAATTAAGCCAATTTTAAACATACAATTGCCATTTTAGTTATCTGAAAAGATAATACAAACTCCCATCAGACTTGTCCTACAACTATAAAGTTAATCCCTATGATAAGACAGCTGTTCATGACTGTCCAGGTGAATACTTCATCCTCCTTTAAAGGGATAAATGCTTACCCCTGCTGAATCTACAGTCAGTCAGAAAAAAATAACTTTTCCAAAGAGAAGGGCTCTATTCTTTGATTTAGAATATAACAGGGACAGGAGATTCCCTAGGTAATCTAGGACTAAACACACAATTCTTAATAAAGTATAAGTGGTTAAAAGAGCAAAATTTTTCTCTGCTCCTCAATTAACTTAGCCAGTCAATAATTAAGTATGGTTCTCTCATAGTTTACTAAAATATATCAGGCTAGCCTTTTGAATTCTAAAGAGTATTCTGGTTTCCTAGATAATATAAACTGGTTGAAGAATTAAATATATGGATTTTTAAGTAGTCTTCCACCACAGGAATTGAATGCCAACATGTCCATATTATTTGTTTAAAAAACAATTTTTGTGAACTTTTTATTAGAATTTTATGTATATCATTAGCTCCCCTTAAAATAATGGAATGAAACTCAGATTATGCTAAAAAGCCATCAAAATGAAAAAAAAGATACTGTAAAATGCAGATTCCTTATTGAGTACAAAATGTGAGTTGGGGGGAGAGTGCGAAAGGTAATGGGAACAAGACATAAAATGGGGAAAAATACCCCAAGAAAGTACATGTCAAATGTTTTCCTTTCTTCTGTTATGATACTGGGGGCAACCTTATAATTAAGGTGTTTTCCCACCCACCCTTGGGACTTTTTTATAGAGTTAAGAAAGCAATTTTAGATACACTTTAGATAAAGCACTGAAGCAAGCATCCAATGAAAAGGTACAATGTTTAGCACCAAGAAGTGTAAGTCCAGAGGTTCTATATATTGAGGACCTTAAATAATTTAGGCACCTAATTGCTGCCAGTTGTAAGACACTATTTACCACCACAGTCTAAGGATGAGCAGGAGGGAAGTAAAGAATACTATAAAGCTCAATGGGTCAACATAAAGCCAGTAGTGAGTTTTGTCTTCTTTGAATATCTGTCTACTTCAGCAAGAAGTTCCATATTATTCTAATGTCCCATTTTATTGTCAATTAAATGGTTAATTTGCTAAATATTATAGCCAATATATCTCACTGTAACCAGAGGGAAAACAAGTTGTTTTATTCTACGAAGAATGCAAAAAGCACTATCTGGTGGCAGGTAGCTTCAACAAACAGGCACAAGATTCTGCCTCTAAAAAGGTAAAACAAGATGTCCTCTTAGAGATAGCAAGGACATTTTTGCTCTCATTAACTAAAACATGATGAATTTTTTTCTAGATCTTTAATGTCAGACTGTCCAAATTCCACCAGAATTATCACCACTTACAAAAACAGTAAGGATAAGAAAAGTAGGTAGTCATTTTATAGTACCAAATGAATATTATGCGGAAATTATCAGAAATTGCTTTTAATGTTATAAATGACTAATTTTAATGAAGTGATTATTAACTATTATAACTTTTAATAATCTACATATTAGTTTAAATTAAAATACTGAAAAATCCTATTAAATAACTAGTGCTACTTGGAACATCAGTATGGACTATGTTACAGAAAAATGACCTGTGAGTGACTGACATCCTCTGAAGCTTAAAAGCTTTTGTAGTTTCTACATTCTTTCAAAAGCAAGAAAGCTACAGAACTAAGGCTCTGAGGCTCCTGTTTCGATACTATCTTGCAACTACATAGGAATCAGAGAATTTTCTGATAGGCTTACAAAACCTGAAAATGAGGACAACCACTATAATAAGTACCCACTTCAAGGTATAGTACTATGAAGGCTAAACACACACACACACACACACACACACACACACACACACACTCACAGTGAGGAAGGGGAAAAGCCACTCTGTTAAATAGCAGGATAAAGAAAAAACCAGGCATGGTGGCTTAGGCCTATAATCCCAGTTTTCAGGAAGGTGAGCCAGAAAGATCCTAAGTTTCAGGCTAGCCTGTACCTAGTGAGGCCCTGTCTCAAAAAAAGGTACAAAACACTTTACTATCTTTAAAAATGCATATTAGAATAAATACGTGGAAGGGAATAAGGATATAACTCAGTGGTAGAAAATCTGCTTAGGATAAGCAAAGGCCTGAGTTTGATTCCCAGCCTCCCCCCCCCGCCCGACCTAGAATATGGAAGAAATATGCCCAATGCTAAGAGTGGATGGCCTAATAATGATAAAGAACTAGAATCTGTAAAGTATAAATGGTCTTCCTGTAGCATCCCGGGAGCCCTAAATGAAATAATAAACATGTAGTTTGCAGAACAGTGCCAGGAACATAAATGCTAACTATGATTAGTGATAAATATGTATTTATAAATAAACATACAAAACTGTTAGAGAGAGACTAGATGCAGAATACTAGGGAATAAAACCACCACAGCTAAGAGTGTTAACCAGTAGATTAAAGGCAACCAAGAGGGAAAAGTCTGCTAGTGGAAGTATGGGTTTCTCTGTAACTGATTAACATATGGTCATCAATGGCTGAGAGAAGAATGTAGAAGGTTAAGTATTCAATTTACACACGAAGAAGCAAAGAGATTGTAAATCAAACATAAAGGTTCAAAGATGTATGAAATTCCTATAGGTTTAAATCACTCAATTATGTAAGAACAAGCTAGGAAAAATCTGACAGAACAGCATTTATAAAAAAAAAAAAGACTTCAGATTTTTTTAAATGCAGAAATAATGAACTGATGTGGCTGAAAAAAAGTTCTATAATTTTCAACAAACTTGATAGGACAGTTTGAACATACAGAAAGAGAGAGAGAAGTGTGGTGTGGTGGTATGCACCTGTGGTCTCAGCTGTGTACTTGAGAGGCTGAGATATTGGGATGGCTTGAGCCCAGGAGTTCCAAGTTAGCCTGAGCAATTTAAACACAGTGAAACTCTGTCAATTAAAGGGGCGGAGGGCAGGACCCCATAAATATATACTGGTTCAACATTTGGCTTCTAGGGTTTATTTCAAATGTAGGAGAAATACACACTAGAATTAACCTAAAAAGAAAATAATCTTGACAAGGACAATCTCTGGAAGATAAGCCAAAAAAAACAGTTGAAGATCTAAAGAATATAAGAATATATGAATCATTCAGGTATGCTTCAAATGTGTGGAGGGTTGACTTATATAAAGAGAAAAGAATAAGTGCTTGTCAAATGCTGATGTCTCTGCCACATCATTATATTATCTTCACTACAATCCTATAAGTTAGTATTATTATTTCAAAGTTAGTAGTAAAAGAAAAGAGAAACACTGAATACTACAGGGAACAGAACAAAATAACTGCAAAACAGATAAATGGGAATATTCACAGAATAAATTACTAAATAACAAAGAGAATAAAATACCCTACAACTATACACAACAACGTAAGAGGAATCTGGTAAACATAACATAAAGCCAAAGAAGCCAGACATGAAACAAGTGAGTCCATAGTATATGATTCCACTAATATAAAATTTAAAACAAAACTAAATCATGCAGTAAAAAGTTAGGATAGTAGCTGGAGTGGGGATGTGAAGGAAAGGTAACTGTGATAGTATTGAGATAAGGAAGATGCAAAATGGGGCCAAAGTGGGGCCCCAAGGGCACCATTTACACTTTATGAAATTTTCATTGTGTGAAAATTATATTGTTACTAAAATTTGTATGCTTTTCTGCATGTGTCATTTTTCAACAAAAAGTTCACTGAAAGAGATGGACATGGTGGTGCATACTCCTACCACCACCATACCCATGGCTGTGCAATACTAGTACTCTGGAGATGGAGGCAAGAGGATCACTGAGAAGTTGAGCCCACCCTGGGCTACAGAGTGAATTCAAGGTCAGCCTAAATAGTGGGACTCTGTCTCAAAAAAACAAACAAAAAGAGGTTCATTTAAAAAAAAATCACTAAGTGAGATTGAGGACGCAGCTCAGTTTTTAAGCACTTGCCCAGCACATGTGAGGCCTTGGGTTGAATCCCTAGTGCTGCATGTCCATGTACACACACACACACACACACACACACACACACACACACACACACACACACACGCACGCACACACAGAGCTCACAAGAGAAACCAGTAAGTGAAGGTTATGGGAATATGGTATCAACTCATATGAAGAAAAAACTACAAAGTAAGGGTTGAATTGAAGAAAGATTGGGGAAGCTGAAGCCTCACATGTTTAGCTTCTATTTCTTACCCAAAGAATTCCCTGAAATAGAATTTGAATTTCCTGGAATATCACCTCCAAATCTTAAATTATTCTAAAATACTAAATATTAACATGCCATAATTCTTTTTTTCTCAAAAGCAAGAATGTTTGTTTACTATGTCTTTAATAACAAAGAACATTTAAAAAAATGATGCTTACCAACTATACATAAACAGATTTCATTTCCCAACATTTTCCGTAATTCTTTGACCCAGTTTTTTACCTGTATATATAAAACAGTAAATATTAAAACAAATCCTGTTAGAACACCTAAGAACACAACATTGTGAAAATACTTCAGGATTTTGTGTAACAGCTCATATATTTAGGAATTAATATGAATGACTGACTTAAGAATCAATATTACCACATAATATTGCAAACCACATAAACACAAACATACAGTGGAAAGATCTGTTCTCATTCCGTGGTAGAGAAGCACTGGTATAGAGAATTCTAGAACAAAGTTTCACTATCCATGAATCACAGCAGTAAACACAGGTGGAAGTACACTGGAACCAAGCAAATTAATCTTTTTATGTTTTTAATTATTACAATAAAGTAGCAGGATTACAATAAAACCATAGTATTAAGAACAAATTAGGCTTTCATTTCTTGTAATCAAACAATCTGCAAGCAATCAAACCTCAGAGAATTTATATATATTCCTTAAAAAAACACACACATCTATAATTTACAAAGATTACATGAGATACGTGGTAGGCATTTATTGTCATCTGGTCCTATGGTACAAATATAATAGTTCTACAAAGAATGCAGAAGAACTATCTTGAGAAACCCAAAATCCTTATAAAAGCCAAGGTAAGTATCATCATCACCTTATCTTTATAACAGACTGAAACACAGTTTTCTTGGTACACCACCCTTTTTCTTTCATTCACATATATATGTACAAAGTTTTCAAAGCATTTAACTTAGTCAATTTCATACCAAAAAAATGACAGCATTGGTTTTATACCTCCTGAGGCACACATCCTTACTGCCTCGAAAGAAACATACCAAAATCCAATTAACATATTATTCTACTCCTTGTTCACAAAGTATCACAATTTACTAAACCAACCAATTTTTTAAAAACATTGTTACTGGAGCTGGAGTTGTAACTCAGTGGTAGATTACCTTCTCGCCTAGCACGTATAAAGCCCCGAGGTTCTGTCCCCACCACCATAAATGAAATAAAATTGTTTACTTATCTCCCATTAGATCCTCTTCCACAACTGACCTAATCATAGTTCCCAAATATTTTGTGATAAAGTTAGGCACAGATTTCATACTTCCATCAAATTGTGTCAGATTTCTCAATCTCTGAGTTATGGCTGACTTTGTAACTTGCTTTGACTAAGAGTATGTGACAGAAGTAATGCTCAGTCACTTACAGACATAAGCCTTGAGAAGACCTGGCAGCTTCTACTTTTTATATTCTTGGAACCCAGTTATCATATAAAACGCTTAGGACAGAATACAGAACAATGAGGGTGTGTGTGGAGAGAGTACCAGAAACCAGGTATTTTTGGACATTCCAGCCCCAGTCCCATTCCCAGTTCAATGAGTGACTCCATTGCTACCACATACAGCAGAGGACCTGACTGGTCAACCCTCAGAATCAGGAATAGTAGTTTCCTGAATCATCATTTTAAGCCACTAAGTTTTGGGAGTTTTGTAAGGTAGCCATAACTTGTCATTTTTCTACCTAAAAGGTTCAATTTTCTTTTAATCAATGAAATACTGAAACTTTCTTTTTGTTTTTTATTTTTTTTTTGTACCAGGGATTGAACTTGGGACCTTGCACTTAGAAGGCAGGCGTGGTGCCACTGAGCTAAATCACTGGCTTAAACCAATTCTTTTTATGCAGAAAGTCAGGAAGGGACAAAAAAAATAGCTTCAAACAACAGACTCCAAAATAACTGTTGAATTAGCAAGCTACTTATGTTTCATTTTCCTCTCTAGATTACTTTGCCATGTAATTAATAGTCGAAGAGCTAACTTGTGTATCTGCTCTATTACATTTAATTGAAAAAAAATAAAGAGAAAACAAATAAAACAAGAACTAAACTAAAAAGACAAATAATTTCAACAAGAACTTGTAATTCATGGCAAGAAAAGCTTCTGCCTTGAAAATTATCCCGTTTCATTACACATTGCTGACAAATTTATTCCAAAAAAGGCTTTAGGAGGAAAGGTCAAATAAGTAACCCATCCTGCCTGTGATGAGAATTCAAACGTAATTTCAATGTTAACTAATTTTTGGTCCCAAACAACTTTAAAAACCTCACATTTGTTGCTAATTTTAAAAAGGAGTTTTTTTAAATGAAGAAACTTTAAATAAGCACTGCCTAGATTGTCTTTTTAAAGATTTTATTATATCTTTCAGGATATTTGTTGAAGAGTAAGACTTTAAACTTGATTTTGCTCTACCTTTTTTCTTTTAACAATGAGGAAGCCTGTGCAATCACGCCAAGTTTTCAGGTGCCCAATATGTCTGGAATCAAAGAAATGTATTTTTCTAAAGCTTAACTTTATTTCCCTTCCCTAATATTTGAGAAAGCCATGCAAAAAACTGAGTACTCTAGTGTATATACTCCAATAAAAAAATTGAGTGGTCACCATTTATACACAAATGATATACTTTTAAAGTTTTTAGAAACTAGTCATACCAGTGAACAAACACATATTAAAAGAGAGGTTAGCTAAGTAACTTCACAAAGTAAACAGAATACCTTCTGAAAAGAATCTTCATCTGTTATATCATAAACTAAAATAGCTCCATTTGAATCTCTGTAGTAAATTGGACCCAATGCATGGAATCTCT